GGAGGTGGTGACGCGTGGGGTGGCGGAGCGGAGGGCTGGACCTGCGGACGGAGGGGCACCGTGAGATGGAGAAGATGGAGAGCACAAGGGGTGGAGAGCCGGGGGGTCAAGGGCGCCCCGACAGGGAAATGGATGCCCCAATGGACAGACGGACACCCAGAAGGACAGACAGACACCCCAACAGACACCCAGAAGGAGAGGTGGACCCCCCGGTGGACAGATGGACACCTGATGGACAGATGGACACCCAGAAGGACAGACAGACACCCAGAAGGAGAGGTGGACACCCGACAGGTAGATGGAAGCCCCAATGGACAGACGGATGCCTAGAAGGATGGACAGACACCCCTGCATACAGATGGATGCCCCTACGGATAGGTGGACACCCCCATGGACAGACGGACACCCCAATGGCCAGATGTACCCCAATGTACAGCTGGACACTTGGAAGGACAGACAGACACCCCTACAAACAGATGAGCACCCCGATGGATAGGTGGACACCAGGAAGGACAGACAGACAGACAAACCCCCCAGTGGGTGGGAAACCCCCAGGACAGACAGATGGACACCCCCAGAGGCACACACCCTGTGATGGACAGACAGACGCCCTAAAGGACACCCCGATAGACAAACAGACACCTGGCCGGACAGACGGACACCCCAAAGGACACCCGGATGGACACACACCCCCCGGGTGTCTGGGATACCCCAGAGACACACACCCCCCCGACGGACAGCCAGCCACACAGACAGACAGACACCCTGATGGACAGACGGACACCCCGACAGTCGGACAGCCCCTCGCTCAGGCGGACGGCAGCGGGCCGCGGCAGGACAGACGGACGCCCCAACAGCCGCGGAGCCTCCCGGAAGACGGCGGCGGTGACTCAGGCGGCAGGAAAGGGTGGGGACGGGGGGACGGGCCTGGCCCCGCGTGGGCCCCCCACGGGGACATGTGGCCTCGAGTGGGGCCCCTCACCCCACTGCTGGGACCCCCCACCCTCC